TAAACTTTATTTTTAAATATATAATGTAATGAATACTTGTTAAATTATATATATTTAATAATACAAAGCAAGTTTTTGACTAAATATAATTAATATATTTTTTTTAATTTTCATTGAACTATAAAAATTTTTTTACTAAGAATAAATATTTTATTTCTAATTGATAAATTTTTAATTACAAATCTTAGTATAATAATTTTTAATAAAATTTCAATTTTTAGAATTTTTGGTTAATTGATAATTCACAAATAAAAAAGAATTAAATTCCAAATCTGCAATTTTTGATGAATTAAAATTTCAATTTTTAATCAAATAACTGAAAATTTTATCAAAATACTTTAAGTGTTAAGCTTTTTATTTTATTTTTTCAATATAAATTTTATAAGTATAAAAATACAAATTTGGTTTTTAAATAATATTAATTAGTTAATATTGTGAAATTTTTGCCAAATCTCAAAATATATATATGAATTATTTAATTTGAAATAAATATTTTGTTATAATTATTATAATTTTTTATTTATGAATTTTTTTAATTAATTTCTTAAAATAATTATTAATAAATTTATTAAAAATAATTTAATAAATAATTTATAAGTAATTAATATTATAACCAAAAAATATTTTTGCTTAATAATTTCAAAGTAAATAATTTATATATATTTAATATATAAATAATTTAGTATTTATAATATATTTATTTTTTATAAATTATTCAACTTAAAAAATGCAAATAATTATTTTTTTAAAATTATATAATTTTTTATTCAATTTTAATATTCCAAAATTTTTATAATTATTGTAATTTTTTTAAAATATCTTATTAATAAAATATAATAAAAATTAAAATTTTTGTTCAATTTTATTAATAAATATTTTTTATTTTATATTAAAATAAGATCATAATTTATATTTAACATATTTTTTTTATTAATAGCAAAATGATATATTTTAATTTTTGTATCAGATATATAATTATATTAATCTAAATATATTTAATTATTCAACTAATTCATTTATTTAATAATCAGTTAATTTTCTTTAGGTTTTTTATATTTCTTGTTGTAGTTTAATTATATTTTTTTAGTTTGCTAAAATAAAATCAAATTATAATTATATTATATTTATGTTTTCTTTAATAAAGTTTTATTTATGCATTTTTATTTATTTATATTATTATAAAATTGAATTTGACCAAATTATATTAATTATATTAATTTTTTATAATAATATGAAATATATATGTACGAATACAATAATTAACAGCATAAAATAAATAAATGTGAACTAATATTATGTTGTTTTTAATAATTTTATTTATTATATTATTATATAAACTTTCATTATTTTTATGAGATTTGCTAATTTTCTGCAATAAATTACATTTATTTTTTAAGGGATCTGATGAGTTTATGATTTGAAAAGTTAGTAGATCACGTGTAAATGTATTAATCAGGTCATAGGTCACATATTCAACTATAATAATGACATAATAGCAATTTAGATGTGCCAAAGTTAATTAGAAGAGATTTAATATAAGAGAGTAAGGAAGAAAATGTAAAAGAGTAATTAGTTTTTGGACATTAAAACAAGTCTCATAATAAATCAATTCAATCTTTATTCTCATTCAATTATATTAAAGCTTGTGTTATATATCCATCGATTATTATAAATAACATTATATTTGCATTAATACACCGATTATAAATTTTTCCGGCATTGACTCGGAAAAGGTTACGTGATTAAGCACTGCCCGTTTCAGGTTTTATTATGGATCACATGATTATATACATAGATATGTGTAAAAAATTACAGGATTTCTATCATGCAATATATACAGACAGAAATATTTGAAAAATAAAACTTAATTAAGCCGTTAGACTAGAGACTAACGCAAATTAAAACTTGAAGTTGTTTTCAGGAACAGTAAATACATTCTGATAACTAAATAAAGTTAGATCTCGATTTAGCGATTATGCGATTTAACAATCACCAATTAATATATCACATTCAAAGCCCTTTCCATAAGAATACAAGCTCAATTTAACAAATGTTCAATTTTTATTACATGTTCCAACCAGGTCTGTTAAACCGAATTTTCTATTTGATTAGTATTAAATAAAGTATTTATCATTAAATAATATTTTTAGCATGTTGCAGAAAAATATACCCAAAAAACATATTTAACTATAGGACAATTACAGATTCTGAAATGGTGAAATTCTGATCTTGACCGGACGGACGGATTACTAGTTAAGTACCCCAGCCATGGCAAAAAAGTTACTGTCACATGATTCCGATTCCGATCCCGATGCCGGCCATCCAATATGCCCATTAAAATTATGCACCAATCAAATTGCAAGATTAAATAAACAAAACAAATGTTTGTTTTTTGAAAACTTGAAAGTTTACCTACGAAACTGTCTTTTGTGCTCTAATAAAAAATGTTGCGAAATTTCACTATATATTATACATAATTTGATTCTAACCCTAACCGAATATTATATATGCAATAAGGGTGTGCCATTTATCACGTAATTATTTTAATTAGTGTGATCCCCCATGTATCCATGTAACAACTAGCTGACCCCATGTATCCATGGTAAAAATTCAAGTAATAAATGGCACGACTAACCGAATCTTTAATTAACACATGCATGATTTTAAGGGGTATATGGTCGGCATCGGATCGGAATCATGTGACAGTAACTTTTGTTTTGCCATGGAACTACAACTTTCGATCTAACGACGTGCAGATCCTATTGTAAACAATATAAATTCAATAGAATATGCACGTCGTTATATCGAAAGTCGACTGTACTCCAGCTCACCCACGATCGATTTTACCTTCACGTGATTTTTTCGATCCCTGACGATCTCGAAACCAATAAGGATGCGCAAATTTTTGATCAATCCGACAAAACAAATTCGCATAAGAAAATGAACAATGCAAAAAATACGACAAATAGATAAACCTAACTTTTAGCATAATAAAAAATGATGGGAAGACAATTTTACATATAGTCTTACGCCAACCCTAACCCTAGCCTTTAATAATGCGGAATGTTTCGGGTAATTGTTGTGGCTTGGAAAATCGAATCATAAAATCACGTGAAGGAAAAAATCGATCGTGAGCTGGAGTAGTTTTTGCTATGGCTAGGGTGCTAGTAATAAACTAAACTATGCAGTTTAATAAATGTCTGCTATACCTCTATACAATCACATCACACTTTATATACTCACACACTACATAATCACATTCTATATAATTATATCATTTACAGTCACATCTTTTTCCCGGTTCCAGCTAGGAAGCATGGGAAATTTGACCTCTGTATAGTCCCAAAATCTTAAATATCACACGGTTTGTGTTCTTGAGTGTGTGATTATGTGGAAGTATGACTGTAGTTTACTTAAAGATACAATTCGCACAATGTTTAACCTAAATTATCAAGTTTAGTTGAGTTTAGAACAAGTTTGGTCTTTTACCTGAGATAGAATATGGTTTTGAATGAAGTAATTTAAAACAAAGCAAAGACAACTAACAATCAGAATCTATATATTTTTAATAAAAGATACTTTTAGTTTTTGTTAGTTTTTATACTAAAACGAGCTCGTAATTCAAAAAGCCAAATTTAGATGTTTTTCTATTTAGAGAAATTGTTCTACTTCACCGAGAGTCCAGAGTCACTTTTATAAGTCCAAAATTCTGGATTTTTATTTGAATTAAATGATTTCTCAAGTCTAATGGTCCAAATGGTGCAGCTTTTATGTACAGATAGTCACTGAATACTATTTAAGGAAATTAAGCAAAAAAAAATGCAACTCTCGCCCGAGAGTTGCATTTTTTTTTGCTTAATTTCCTTAAATAGTGCTGACTAAATTACCGTATATTTTTTATTCCGAATATTAAGACCCGAGTAAGATCCAAGTAAGATCCGAGTAAAAAGATCCGAGTTAAAATTATACTATATACTATATATATATATATATACTACGTACATGTATATATATTCCCTTTAATGGTAATTAATCAATGAGGAAAAATCAATAAATAGTGGGAATGTAAGCAATCAGAAATATCGATAAATAGTGGGAATGTAATCAATCGATGAGGAAAAATTATCGAATTTCACACACCCCAATGGTTTAATAACACATTATCGTTATGGACTAGAACCGTAGTCAATCCACTCACACCATGGTTGATAGTACATTCTGGCAAAGGACACGCATTATTTCAAGCAATTAGATAGAGATCAACCAGTCCAAGTTTTAATTTCTCATAATGTTATTAGATACTTTATACAACGCATTTTCAATCCATCAAAATCATATTTCATATCTTATTCGTTAGCTTTAGTTTCTTTTCATTGAGCTCTAATCTAACTGCTTGAAATAATGTGTGTGCTTTGCCATAATGTATTATTAAACATACTTTAGTTTTTAATGTTTTGTTTTGTTCTGTTCGTTAGACTCGTTTAATATTTATTTCACCGAGAAAATTATTCGTCTTATTTATCTATATTTTTTATTAATATGTAAATCAAGCGTTCCGTTTATTTCAAATCGAACATTTTTATTTAACGTTAATAGCCAATTTTAATTTCATTACTATTATATTATCCTCCCAATTTTTTGCTTTTATTATTAGTCCTTTTAACCTTGATATACAATTAGTCGATTTTAAACTCGAATGTCAGTTACTCGATCTCGAATACAAATTACGACAACGACAACGACAACGACTACGACAACGACTACGACAACGACTACGACTACGACTACGACAACGACAACGACAACGACAATACACGGGAGACGTTATTACTATTACAAAGATAGACTCTATATAACGACCCTGGATATAATAAATCCGCGAAGTCATCTTAAAAAACGCCGATATATAATGAAACACGTAATTTATAACCAGCAAAATTTTTTCCCTCGCTCACTAGGCCAATAATAATTTTTCTGATTTCCAATTTTCGCTCAACATCATGGCCGGCAACACTGAGTACGTCAGAATCCACGAAAAGCGATTTGGGGGGGGACGGTTTGGAAAATAACTAGAGATAACGTCGAAAGAAAGTTTGGAAGAACTAAAGGAAAAATTGTAAGGAAATGTTTGAAGGGAAAGTGTTGATAGAACTCAAGGGTACAGCTGAAAACGTCAAAAATTGGGTTACCGGAAGTTATATCGCCTTTGCAAAAAAAAAAGATGGAAATATTACAAATTTTGAGTTGGCCGAGGAATTTAATATCGTCGAATCAACGTTTCAGGAATTCTAAGAAAAAGGAAAATGGTTCGCAATCGACTTATCTTCTCCCTCATCAAAACAAAACGATAACGAGCCCTAGGATTTTCGGCATTGGAAGTAGGTGGATAATTGCCTTCGAGATCATCAAGATTTGAACTTATCCGCAAACCACACTAATATTCCGAGTTCCCTGGTATTTCAAATTTTAAAGATACTAAACAAAGAATGTACAGTGCTACCGGTGAAAAAGCATTACTATTTATTTATGTACCGAACTCCTCGTTGTCTCTGCAATATGAATATCGCTTCCAGTAGGAATAATACATCCCGGATGCAAACAAATAGGCTTGGTAATTAAACCAAGAGATGCGACAGGCAAATCGTTTCTGTTAGATAATTTTGCAACACCTTCTCTTATCGTTGAGCAAGAGCTTTCAAACGTTGTACTTCACTCTTTCCCTCTCAATACCACCACACTTCCAACTATGCGATGCTGGTACAATTCACTCTTTAAAAGTAACACTGCCACGAAATGGTGTGAACACAGGATCGATGAATATGATCTTTCCTTGAACTAATTAAACTGATATACGCCCTGTTGGTATTCAGTTTTATGAAGAAATTTCGATCAAGAAACACTCTTACAAGCTGCAATTAATTGGTTACCTTTTGACCAGCCGTTCCAAAATATATGAATCTTCCTCTACTTGTGAATGTTTGTCAGATGCTGTAATTATTCACAAGTTCTTGAAGAACCTATAGAAGAATTGATAATCTGAATCACCTGTTATAGCAAGTCAAAAATCAAATTTGAAGATTAGTAATCAAGCAACACTCAATTATAATAAGTTTGATAATATAAATAATAAATAAGCTTATTGACTTATATATTGTATATATTATGTGAAATAACTCTTGATATAAGCAAGTTTATTAGATTTCAATACAATGGACTCTCGATATAATGAATTTTCCTAAATTCATACCTTTTTCCTTAACATTTCACTTTTTGCAATCGCTTTATATAATTTATACTTTTGTTTCTGTAATATAATATACATGTTTCATACACTTTGTAGGTCAATTTAGTTACCGTAAAGTCACAGAAATAAGCACCGCCCCAATTGAGATTATAACCTCTTATAAAGGGTAAATAAGCATCACTTTTTAATAAATTTAAATTTAATATTAAAGTATCGAGAATAGCCAACCACCCGAAATTATTAACTTCGAAAATTAACGAGAACCACCGTTCCCATTAATCAAACATCCATAGTGATAATGACAACAATGCAGTTTTTAATTTTGTATTTGTCACATATCACTCGGTCCAACTATAATGTTCGATAGAACAATATGCACATTTTAATATAATATAACTACTAATAAACTGTCTATCTCAGTAAATTAAATGCGGATAATTATAATATCAAAGTATATGCGTACGTATACTCTTCAATAAACGATATGTGGCATGGAGAATGACAGTTTGAAAAATTCTGCACTATCCAACAAAAGAAATTGCAAAATTTTATTTAAATATTACCTTTCCGGATGTTTCCGATGAAGAGATTGATGGAAATGGTGTCAGAAAGAAAGGTTTAAAATTATTTAAGTTACTTGACATAGTAATGAGATAGAAAATATTCGTTATTTTTTATTTATTGTTTCAAACTTATAAATTAAAATATTTATAGTGTATTGAACATCGTTGTATATATATTCAATGAACAAAAGCAGAAAACAATTAAGTAGCTTCTATTTGGTTGCAAAAAAATTTCCAGGTTCTGTGATCTCCGATCAGATGCCGACCATCCGATATCTCCCTTAAAATTATAATGTATAATATTAAATAGAATTTCGGTTAGGGTTAGGTTTAGAGTTAAGGTTACTGTATAGCAAATGAGAGTGTAAAATTTTTATTAAAGCACAAAAGATAGTTACAAGCCATTTTTCAAAAATAAACATTTTGAATTTTTGCGTTGCACGTTGATCTTGCAATTTGATTGGTGCATAATTTTAAGAGGTATCGGAAGGTCGGCATCGGGATCGGAGATCACGGGACCTGGGATTTTTTTGCCGCCACTAGTCCACTATTACTATTTGAACAATATCACACTCTGATTCCTTTACGTCCTACAGGTCTTAAAAAGTGTTGTTCCAATATTGATCCATAATTAACAAGAATATTATTATTCTTTGCATTTCCAATTATCGTAGTTTGCAAAAAAGGTTTAGCCATGCAAGCTGCATAGTCTGAGAATTTAGAGACAAAATTCGTTTTGGTTAACATGAAAATTAAAACGAACATAGTATTTATGTATATATTGATTGATCTCTAAATTCTCAGAATATCAGATTTCTCGCACTAACTGCAATTTGCATGACTACATCTGCGATAATTCAGCTTGAGAAAAACGTACGAAAAAATCTGGTGCCATTTTGTTGATACTCAAGTTAATGTAATTGAGCGGAAAAACTTGCAAAACTAAGTTTTTAGGTTAGCGTTTTTAGTATTAACTCAGCGACTGGCAGAATATTTGTTTGCTTTACGCGTGTCTTGATAACCAAATACTCAGAATTGAGTATGAACAATAATTTTCAAGATCGTAAACATTATATATAATTTCGATATTTTTTTCGAATTGCTTCATGGAAAGAATAAATTTATGGATAAACACGAATGAATTCACCTGTGTATAAGTTTCTAAATATTATTGACAGAAATTCCTTGATTCATGCATTATCATAATATTAACGTTAAAATTTTTTCATTTTTTTAATATGATAGGAATAAACCCCTGTTAGGGTGTTTAATTCTAAAAAACTTTGGAATTAGGTTTCGATAAAGTAACACTAGAAAATTCTTATGAACTATCCAATAAAAAATCATGTCAGCATTTAAATACCGATATATAGTAAAAAAATAGAAGAAAGATAAAATATTACAGAACTAATAACAAAAAAATATAAATTATAAAGCGAATTTAGATATCCTTGCAATCTTATTGTTGTAAACTGGCTATTGAAATATTGGTGGCTTCATTAATCTTTGCCATGTTTAAATGATCAGTCAGCGGCAATGGCTGATGCTGTTGATTTTGGTGTTGCTGATATTTTAATTTTATTGGCTCGTTTCACAATCTCGGTGCACTATTTTTAATCTTCTTATTAACTTTGTATATCCATTTTTATTCATGAAGTTTACTTTATTTGTTTAAAAGTTATTAGAATTTGAAATCGCGAAAAATGTTTTATTAAGATAAGTGATAATATAATTTCTTAAAAGATTTTATAATATTTAAAAATAAAATACAAATTTAACACTTTAAATCACGTGTTTTTATGTAATTTGAAAATTTGGCACTCTAAATCGTGTAATTTATGTATTTTAAAATTTGGCACTCTCGTTTATGATATGCTGCGATTAGGTGAAACGAACCAGTAATGCTGAATGATCTAAAAAAAGTTTGGGTTAAGAAATTTATTAAAGTCGAACAGGAATTTATTCTTTGAAACTTGATTTATATATGAGGTTAGAGAAATGGCAAGTTATAATGGCATGTGATTTACTGGTCGAATTCGATTGGTTCTTGTTAGTTAGATGGAAAATGGTGAGACTTCGAACACTTTTATGTTAGGTTATCGTAAAAACATGTTGATTTATTAGTAAAAACATGTTGATTTATTAGTAAAATTTTACTCACATTACATAGTATAAGATACTTAAAGACACCAATAAAATTTAGTTATCTTTAAAAAGCAAAGAATTTTTATACAACGATTATACAAAAAAAAGGAGACCACTATTTGTAGTAAATAGGCCTAGCTACAAGATAGCAACACTCTTTTTAAAAAATAATCACTCATTTTTTATTAGTATTCATTTAAAAACTCATTATTTTAATATGATCAATGGCCAGTGGGACAAACAACATGATCTGTAATTATTAAATCAAATTTGATTGATCAATCATGAGTTATTTTATTGGTTATTGCAATAAATCACTTAGCAAATGACATGTATCTTATAATAATCATGTGATTTAATTAAAAGTAATCAAAATTGATTTATTAGTTCATTTAAATTTTGTTTGTCTTTTGGAATTAATAATGAATTAAGTCACATAATTTGTATTCTGCACTATAGCTCAAAAAAATAAAAAATTAATTTTATTTGAAGTAATTTCGAGAAAATTATCTATCTATCTACTCTTTTTTGCTTGATATTTTCACATATTATTTTATAATAAATTGAAATTAGTTAATTTCTATTTATGAATAAAGTTGCATATTTGTTCTTTTAGAAACTAATATTATATAAAAATACAAATATGTAAAAATCATGAGAATAATATGAAAGAGCCAGTATAATATATATAAGTACAGAAATGCAACAAATTCTATATTATAAACATATTTTAGATATAATTTTTAATATAAATATAATATTAATTTGACAATCTGTACTTATATATATGTTTTTGTACTAAAAAATCATTCCAAAAACATGTTTATATATATGAAATTTGTTATATTTTTTATGCTTATACATATTATTTTATATCATTTCATATCAATTTTTACAATTTCTACAAATCTTATATACTTATTTTTTTTATACAGTCAAAAATAGTTTCAAATGCAAATAGTAATGATTATTTTTTTATAATTAAAATAATTTTTTTAGAACATTTTAAATATAAACAAAAAGATTTAAATTGATATTTTTCTTAGAATATCAACCTAAAAAAGTCAAAAATACAAAAATTTTACAATTGATTTGTAACAATTTTCACATACCCTTGTAATTTCTTGTATCATGTCTATCCTTTTTCGTGTTATGTTTATCATTTTCTTGCATAACATGTATAATTTAACACAGATCTACATTTAATACTTCTTAATGTTTCGCTAATTAGATTAGATGTGAAATGTAGATCATATTAT